AAACATGGCAAAAGTGAACTGACCTCCTGTTACTGAGGTCAAAAGCTATCAAAAAAAAAAAAAAAAAAAAGAGATATAAAAAGAGAGACCTGCTAAAAATCCACAAACAAGCCCAAGAAAGCTTTTCCAAATTGTCCCTTGAAGATGAACCCCAGGGGGACAGGAAAGCACTGACTGGGATCACTGCTGCGTTCAGGGTTGTGTCAATAAATCCCACACTCCCACCGTGCAAATCACTTCCCACATTTCAGGTTCCATGCACTGACTGCACTTTCCTTGGCTTAGGTGGAACAGCTCTGGGTTTGTTCCCTGTGTCCCCTCAGCTCCCGGTCCCACAGCACCAGGGGTGGTAAGAGCAGGAAAAACCATAACTCAGTGGACACAGTCTGGGGCAAACACACAGGATTAGGGCAGGAAAGATTCCTTTAATTCTCCTTTCACCGAGTGTTGTGTTTGTCCAGCCCTGCTGCCTCCTTCCCTGTATTTGCTCTTTTAATCTACCTTTTATAACTTGTCCTGCCCACAGGGGCAGGGGAAGGTGTGACACCTGGTCAAAATGGCAGGAGGGTGGAACCAACACGGGCTTCGAGGTCCCTTCCAGCCCAAACTCTTTGGGGATTCTGAGAGGAGCTGCTGAGCACGGGAAGGGAAAGAGGTTTGTAACAAACCCCGAGCCTGTTTCGCAGTCACTGAATCCCAGAATGGTCTGGGTTGGGAGGGACCTTAAATCCCATCCCATTCCACCCCTGCCATGGGCAGGGACACCTCCCACTATCCCAGGTTGCTCCAAGCCCCGTCCAACCTGGCCTGGGACACTCCCAGGGATGGGGCAGCCACAGCTTCTCTGGGCAGCCTGTGCCAGTTCAATCACTCCCTGAATAACAGGCCCTCATCAGCTCATTCTGCCTCACTGCAGGTCCTTTCCCAAGGCCACAGGCACCTCTGGAATGCCATCCTGAGTGCTGCTTCTCAGCTGCAAAAAGTCAGGAAAAAGGGGCTGGGCTGGAAGAGGTAAATCCTGTGCGGACACATCACGATTCCATCTGCTGTGACAAGCAGATCTCCCACAATCCCTGGACTCCTCTGCACTCGATCCGTAACTCCTCACAGACATTTCCCTTCCTAAGGAGTAAATCCAACCCCAATAAAGCATTTCCTTTCCAAGGACCATGGGAAACTGAGCAGTGCAGTTGGGGAAACACCTGCAAATCCCGCACTGGGGGATGAATTCAGCCGGAACTTTTCATCAGGAGAAGCAGATCATGTGAAGCACAAAACACCTCCCATCCCATGCTGTGCACACAGAGAACGTGATCCACAGCCATTCCCAGGCATGGAAGAGAGTCAGACCCCCTCTGTCCCTCACAGCACCCAGCAGAGATGCAACACAAAGGCAGTGTGCCCACACTGCCCCCAGAGAATTCCTGCCCTCCTTCCCCTTCCTTCCACATGGACACCCATGGAATTCCATGGAAGGGAACTGCTGCCAACCAGGGGAAGAAGTCAGTGCATCAAATTCCTTTCCCCCCCAAAACTAAAGTTGCTAAAACTATTTCCTAAACCAGACTGTGTAAAGCTACGGACACTCATCAGAGGGCCAGGGGAAATCACATTTTAGAGCCTTTCTCTAAAATAACACTTAAAAAAAAGCCCCTGTGCTTCTTTAGGGAAAAAGCAAAGGAATGAGAGAGCACAGTGTTTTGATCTCCTTCAGGGGAGAGGGAAGTTTCAGCCGAATGCTGTTCACAGACACCATGAATCCCTGGATTAATTCCTTCCACGGAGCAGCTTCACCGGGAAATGCCATTTACCAGAGGAACAGAAGCTCCTCAGGGATGTCCAAGGAGATCCCACAGGTCGCTCACTCACCTGCTTGAGAGCCTTCTTGCTGTGCTTCTGGGAGGAGGAGAGGACCTTGCCCTGGATGGAGGGGGACGGGCAGCCGGACTGCGGGGACGACGTCTGGGACAGGCGGGACGACACTGCGGTGGGGGGGAACAGGAGGAAGAGGATTTCAGAAGGTGGAAAGAGACAACTTGTGGCCATGTGGGCCAGACAGGATAAGATAAATAAGGCTGTCTCTGTTAGATTGTAAGCTGTCTCCCACAGGAGAGAGCAGGTTTCTTTTGACTGGACAGTGTCTGGTCCAGGCATCTGGGCCTTCCCAGTTAGGTACTTAAAAGTTGTCTGAAGATTCATGTATCCCCCCTCTTCTGTACCTGCCAATCCCTAGTCCTGACCAACGCCCCGTCCAAGGTTTTGCATACCTTTCCCCTTTTCCAGAACCTTCCTTATCTGCCCTATAAAAACCTTCCACTTTGTAAACTAAAGTCAGATCAGCCCCTAACATCCACAGCTGCTGTTCCGTGCAACTTGCCTCTTGTCTTCTATTATGAGCTCAGCCAGTACTTAATATCTGGGTGAGACAAACTACAACCTTACCCGGTAAGATAAGAGAGGCTGCAGCTCAGCTGGGAGAGCCCTGCAGGTCTGGGTATGACCCCTGTTACCCAAACCGTGCCAACAGTGCCGGGAAAATGGACAGGAGGGAACAGAGATGGACACGAGCCAAGCCTGGAGCCTTTCCCCTCACCAGAGCAGCTCCTGAGGCTCCTAATCCTCGAGCCTTTCCCCTCACCAGAGCAGCTCCTGAGGCTCCTAATCCTCGAGCCTTTCCCCTCACCAGAGCAGCTCCTGAGGCTCCTAATCCTCGAGCCTTTCCCCTCACCAGAGCAGCTCCTGAGGCTCCTAATCCTCGAGCCTTTCCTCACCAGAGCAGCTCCCGAGAGCAGCCCCTGCGCCAGGGGTGATGAAGGGCCCTGTCTGCTCCCTCCTCCCCACCCAGGCTGATGTTCTCTGGAAGTGCAGCTTCACTATCACTTGCTCTTTCTTAAAAAGGAATATGGGAACACACGGGATATCCCGGGAAACGAAGGTGCATTCCCAGTGGGTGAGTGCAGGAACGTAAAGGAGTCTAATCCAAGCCAGATGATGGAGTCCTGGAGTGAGGCTCCCAATTCCAGGTGATTTAACCTTTAAAGAGCCTCGTTACAGCCAACAAACCGTGGTGGGGATTATCAATCACCGCTCGTGTTGCTCAAATCAACCCGGTTTGGCACAGGACACCCAAAACCCCCAGATCCTGGGACACCTTCCACTAGACCAGGATGCTCCAAGCCCCGTCCAGCCTAGCCTGGAACACTTCCAGGGATCCAGAGGCAGCCACAGCTTCTCTGGGCAACCTGTGCCAGGGCCTGCCCACCCTCACCACAGCCAAGGATTCCTTCCCGATCTCCCATCTCTCCCTGCCCTCTGGCAGTGGGAAGCCATTCCCTGTGTGCTGTCCCTCCAGCCCTTGTCCCCAGTCCCTCTCCAGCTCTCCTGGAGCCCTTTTAGGCCCTGCAGGAGGCTCTCGGGTCTCCCTGGAATCTTCTCTTAAAAAACAAAACCCCTGAGTCAGCAAATTCCTGGTCTGGGAATGCCTTATTCCAACAACAAACACTGAGAAATCAAAGAAACCACATGAAGAGTAAAAAAACGTTTGATGCCGGGTGACCCCTGCCATAATAAACACATTCACATCTAAACCAATTAAGTTATCACTTCCTGAAGCAATTAGTTCTTGAACACAGCAGAATAAAGCAGTACAGGAGGCAAGAGATAATGACCCAGCTCTTCATCAGCCACAGCCAGAGGGATCCCACTCAGTGTCCAGGAAAAAGGGCAACTCCCAAATATAGGGCAGGGACAGTGAACATCAGAGAGCAACACTTCAGCAGAACACACAGAACTAGGAACAAGGAACTATAAAAAGCAAAACTCTCTCACGTGTGGCTTGGATTAACTGAAAAGAGCAGGTTTGCAGCGGGCACACCCAGAGGAGAGGGGGCAATTCCAGCCCCTGGAATGCCGGGAAATACAGCAGGAACGGGTCATCCAGCAGTCACTGAGGGGATCAAACACACCCAGGTGATCCCTGCCCGCAGTGAAAGGTGACCCAGAGCACAGAGAGCAGAATTACCACTTCAAAGGCCAAAATAACCCAAACCCCGGTGTCACAGCAAGGGCTGCCAGGCAGAGGCTGTGTCTGTGCTGTGAGGAGTGTTTGTGACCCCGTGTCTGTCTCCCAGCCTGGCTGAAACTGCAGATCAAGAAGCAGATGCTGGAGAAGTTCAGAGAGAGGCAAAGCAGATCCCAAACTCTCCGGGATTCTCTGAACGCCTGGATACGGAAAAGTGGGAGAAGGGAAAATCTGCTGCTAAGATCTCACTCCCACTTCCAGGGAACCTCAACAAAAGGCTTCTAAAAATTGTTTGGCCATTGTTTAAAAAACAAAGGGCTGGCATAACTGACACTGGATGGGGCAGAAGGCAAAGAACAGAATAACGGAGTAATGGGGCAAGAAATGGGCAAAACTGCAGGGTCATGGAGCAACAGGGAACAGCTGGAGCTGGGACAGGCTGGAAACAGGAACATGGGAGAGATTTAGTTTGGTTACAGTTGGGAGAATTCAGTGGGAATATAAAGAACTGGAACCCAGAGAACAAAAGACCGAAAATGTTGAGAAATCATCAAAAAAGGGTAAGTACATTTCTGGAGGAAAATCCCGAGATCCTCAAGGAACCTGCGGGAATCTGAGTGAGCCGTGTCACCAGGAGGGACCATTTTGGCCACTGGGTGAGAATGGCAGGGAGATTTCAGAACCCCAGAATCCCTGAGGTGGGGAAAGCCCTCCAAGACCTCACAGAGTCCCCCCCTGTGCCCGATGCCCACCCTGTCCCCCAGCCCAGAGCACTGAGTGCCTTCCTGGGACACCTCCAGGGCTGGGCACTCCAAACCTCCCTGGGCAGCCCCTGCCAGGGCCTGACCACCCTTTCCAGGGACAAATTCCTCCTGATGTCCCCCCTGCCCCTCCCTTGCTCCCAGGGAACAGGGACAGGAGGAGAGGGAACGGCCTCCAGCTGTGCCAGGGGAGGGGCAGGAGGGATATTGGGAACAATTCCCTTCCTGGAAAGGGCTGTCCAGCCCTGGCACAGCTGCCCAGGGCAGTGTTGGAGGCTCCATCCCTGGAGGAGTCATCCAAAGGCAGTGGTGGAAGGAACACCCCCATACCCAGATCCCACCACACCCCCTCTGCTGTCACCACCCAGCACACGACTGGGCTGCTCAATTCTGAATTCTGCTTTGACAGCACCTCATGCACTTCCCCCAAATCCTGGCTCCCTCCCAAAGCCAGTGCTCTGCCTGATTCCTCACCTCTTGAACGTTTCCTGGAGGCTGAGAGATCAATGTTGGACCAGCCCCTCCTGAAAAATCACATCACTGCAACTTCACAGAATCCAGGGATGGTTTGGGTGGGAAGGGACCTTAAAGCTCATCCCATCCCACCCCCTGCCATGGGCAGGGACACCTCCCACCAGCCCAGGGTGCTCCAAGCCCCGTCCAACCTGGCCTGGGACGCTCCCAGGGCTGGGGCATCCCAAGGTCCTGCTCAAGGAGCTGGGTGTGTGACCACGGGCTCGATGGCACATCCAGAGTGAAAAGCTGCCCTTTACTCAGTTGGGCTGAACTAAAAATACAATCCCCCCCCTCCAACTGTGAGCAGTCTTAAGCTTAAAATAACCCAATTTGAAACAGCTAATGGGATCCAGATGTATCACATGAAAAACTCTGAGTGGAGTCGCTAAAACACGCTTTGAGGAGCGCAGAAACGTCTCTGGTTAATCACAGACTGGTTTGGGTTGGAAGGCACTTCAAAGATCATCCATTTCCACCCCCTGCCACAGGCAGGGACCCTTCCCACTTAAAGCAGTCTGGGATTCAATGATTCTATGGATTAAAGGATCAACGAGGCACTGTGGAAGCAGAAACAGAGGCGGATCCAGGGAAAAGCAGCACAAACCCAGCAGGTGAATTTTGAACAGGTTCACCCCCACCCCACAGCCCAGCACTTTGGCTCAGCAACAGCAACTCCAAATTAACACTGGGAGAACACAAACCCACGTGGAACTGCCCCAGTGGGTTTGCCTGCCCTGGTCACTCACTGCATCCCCAGGAACACCTGGAATGCAGCACAGACACAGAAGGCACGGATGGCACTCGCTGCCAAGCAGGTTTTCCAGCTGTGCCACGTCCCTGAAGAGCCTGTCAGAACCCAAAGCTTCGCCTCGGGCTGTCAGGTGTGTGAGATGCCCACAAAGCTCAAGGCAACTTCTGCTGCCTGCTGTGACTGGTATCACTGCATTTTGAGTAACAGTTCATTTTTCAGAGAGCCCAGTCAGTAGAACTCATCGTGTGTTTGCTCTGGAGAAGTGTCACACCTGCAGTAAGACACAATCCCAGACAGCTCTGCTGCTGTCAGGCCCCTGGGGCAGCAGGCGCCTGTGAAAACCCCTGGGCGTTACAGAGAAGAACCTTCTGCTTCTCTACAGAAAAGTATCTTCTCTTTTTGAGTGGCACTTGTGGCTGCCTGTGCCACCACAGGGTGCTGGAGACACGTGTTCTTCTGAGCCACAACATCTCCCAGGAGCACAGCGAGTCCTGAGGTACACAACCAAATCATGGAATCCTCAAGTCCCAGACTGGTTTGGGCTGGAGAGGACCCTCCAGCCCACCTCAAACCACCCCCTGCCGTGGGCAGGGACACCTTCCACCAGCCCAGGCTGCTCCAAGCCCTGTCCACCCTGCCCTTGAAGCTACAGCAGGAACTGGTGCTCCCCTGGGAGACCCCTTGGCTGGGTGGGTTAGTGGGTGAGAGGCCTGGCAGGAGCACCAACAGGAGTGCTTCATTTCCTGGAGAACCCTGGATTCCCCACTGCCTCATTTCCTGGAGAACCCTGGATTCCCCACTGCCTCATTTCCTGGAGAACCCTGGATTCCCCACTGCCTCATTTCCTGGAGAACCCTGGATTCCCCACTGCCTCAATTCCTGGAGAACCCTGGATTCCCCACTGCCTCATTTCCTGGAGAACTCTGGATTCCCCATTGCCTCATTTCCTGGAGAACCCTGGATTCCCCACTGCCTCATTTCCTGGAGAACCCTGGAT